TTCATGCCGCTTCATCAGAAGCCTGTGAGGCCTTGGCAGTTTTGCTGCAGTGAGAATCCCCTCTGGGAAGGACATCAGGCTTTGTGCCATCGAGGGCCCAATTGGATCTGGCATTTCCATTAATCCCTCCCCTGACTCCAGTCCCGTTTGGTGACTTCCTTTGCTAGCCCCAACCCTCACCAGTGGCTAAGATCACTCAGGGCCTGTGAGAGAGTTCCTTTCCAGCTGCTGCTGCAGAGCTACATATCCCCAGTATATCTATGCCCATTCGGGGGCATGCTCACCATTAAGAAAAGTGCGGGGGGACTGCTGCCCTTGGCTGTGGACAACCCTTAAGCAAATTAGAGAATATTTTGTTGTGTCTAAGGGACTCAGAGATGTACGAAGTTGTGATGGTGCTGAAGGGGTGGAGGCCGATACGCCAGATTACAGGTGTCAGGGAAGAATAGATGACTGGATGGTGTTGCCAGTTTCAACACATTTTCCACAGGGAGCACATCTAGAACATTGGTGTGTGAGAAAGAGAGAGAGTGGGTGGAGTGAGGGAGAGAAGGGTTAGAGACTGCTGCTTTGATATGGTATTTATTTAAGCTGCTGATTTTATTTTATTGTTTTATTATAGGGTTTGGTTGGCTTGGGTTGGGTTTGATTTTTGGTGTTTCAGAGAGTATAATCAGAGAGAGATAAATATTGTTTTTAGATCCAGAAATCCTGAACTCAATGGTCTTATGCTGCACTGCTGTATAAATGCCAGTGTCTATGACTTCAGTAGTGAAGCACGCAGCTTCTGTCTTCCCCTTGTGCCTCCACCCCTAGTCCAATTCCACTTTCATTTCATTCTTTACAACTACCTACACATTTCTGATATCTTAAAGCAACAAACACAACCTGTTTGCTGACCTGATTTTAAAAAGACATTCTCTGAGCATGTAGAGGGTTTTTTAGCCTCTCTCTTCGATCATAACACCATCATGAGTACAGGAATAAACTCTCCTCTCCCCATGTGAAACACATTTAGTTGGGACTAAGCACCATTTTGGTGTAGGAATGAGTAATATGCTGTTAATGTGAGAAGAGAAAGAGAGAGCATCTACAAGCATGGACATGCCTGCCTGGCCACTCAGCATCAAATGCTCAAAAAAATTGGGTGTACGGAAGATCCAAGGTGATGCCCTGGCATCTATTTGCTGCTGCTGTCATCCCCTGGTAATCCCTGGGTGGTCCTGGGGGCACAGGCCCGGCTGTTATCCCCCTGGTCCAGCCCTAGCTACACCCTGGCCAGAAAGTGCTTCTGGAGTTCAATAATTCTTGAAATCCAGCGCTCCCACTGTTGATACAGAAAATCTTTATTCCCATGTCTATATATTATGATCAAAATCCTTGGCCCTCTTTCTGCCTGCATCCCCTCCTGCAGTGTGTATTGTGAAGTTTGCCAAAGTCTGCTTTGCAGCAATGTAAACTGCACAGTGGGAGCCCAGGCCAGCTGAGTGGGTGGGTGTGGGGGAAGATGGAATTCAGTCACCTGGGGAAGTTGTGGAACCACAGGACTTGGAGCCCCCTGCAGAGGTAAGAGGATTTTGAAATGCTGTCAGGAGGAAAGGCTAGTCTGTGCATTAACCCCCATGAATGAGGAGCCATGCTAATGTTGTGCTGGACTAGCTGCAGAACCATGTATATATGTCACAAACAGGAAGCTGTTATGTTGCACCTTTGTGTACAGTCATCCAGGAGACAAAAATACCACCTGGGGTTAGAATATAATTAAAATGCTAATAAACCTGATTCAGAGAGAAAAGCTTTTCTCCCAACACCCTCCTAGGGGATGCTTGCAAGGAGTATTGTACCCTTTTGAAATGGGAACAAGAGGCACTGGCTGTAAACAGGGGCAGGAGAAAGAAACCTTTCAAATGCTGGCCCTATTCAGCAGCAGATGTGTATATGGCGGGGAGGGGGGGATGTCAATATTTGTTATCACCACAGAATGCTGCGACTCCATGAAAAAGCCATCATGTTTCGTTTCATTTCATTTCATTTCATTTCATTTCATTTTGCCATCTTGTACTGAAGGTAACACAAGCTGAGTTTGTACAACTCGTTAAGCCATGGGGGCTTATAAGGCAGGGATGCCTTGGTGTGTTTGTTGACCAAGGTGTTGGGCTGGATTCAGGGAATGCAACAAGCCACTCCTGGCTTATAAGCCTCTTTGGCTTACTCTGTTGGTGAATCCAGTTACTGACTCTCAACCACGGGAAAGAGATGTGACAAGCAACCCACAAAGAACCAAAGGTTGTTGTTGAAAAAAGGAGAGTGAGATCTGCAGGAATGTACAGTTCCCAAGAATACCACCGAAAGCTGTGTGAAGACTTCACTTGTATAAATCCGCTGTGGGTTGAATCCAGATATATTTAGTAGTCTAATTCAAGTATGAATCTATAACTAAGTTCAGAGTTCTCATTGCACTTCTTTTGCCTGCCTGCCACCTGCAATGTGCTGCCCAAATGTTCCCATCTCCAGAGCATTTGTTTTTTCCAGATGTATTGTGAAGCAATAGCATGAACCTTGGAAAAAAATTCACACCGCTCCTTTTAGCTGAATTTACACTGCCTGGGAGTATACATATCTTAACTGTGCAGTAGGAGAGCATGTTGTCACTGTATTTACCTTTTTTTTTCCTTGTATAAAGTTTGATATAGTTTTAGGGATATATGTACAATTCATTTCAGTCCATTATTAATCAGGATTTACTCAGTTCAAATCTTCTGGATTGAACCTGACTTGGAAGTAATCTGCTATCGAAGTACTTCCATTTTGTATTTTCAGAGAAGAACCTGATCCAGAACCTATGCATAGCAGGATGTATACATTTGCAAAATATGCATGGAAGATATGTACTTTTGAAAAATCCAAATAGATACACTTAGTCAAAGGGAGAAAAATGCATAAAATGTATTGCAAAGATATGCACAATTGATGCAGACATCTGAAAAACACACACAGATTTTCATATGAAAAGAAAAAAAAATAAGCTTGTAATCTGGTGCAGACTTGCGACAAAATAATGGAATTCGGAGAATATGGATGAGCTCACATATGTTGATTTTCAGATCACTAGATAGTATTTGCTGAACCCAGTGACTTCCAAGTGGCAGGTTGTAACCCGCTACCGGGAGAACGATTGAACTAAGATAGGTTGCCACAGCAGCATTATCACCTAATAAATGTATGGTAGCAGGGGTGGGGGTAGTGAAGAAGAAGGTGGTCCACATTTGTTTGGGTTATTATGACAGGTTTCATTAAGTGTTTTAACTGTAGCTTGATCACTTCACAGAATCAAGCTACCCCGATCTAGAATTTACATAGAATTAACATTCCATCAACAAAATAGTAAAACATGCCACTGTTCTAAATATATAGTCTAAAATATTCACATGTCCACATCAGTTTTGCACGTGCATGTGCACACGCACACACACACAAATCTACCTGTGCATCTGCCCAACCATATGGTAGGTACCCTACTCTAACAGTAGCAGGCCAATCATCTGATCCATTTCAGAGGAGATAAGGATGCTAGATTCAGGATAACCTGACCCAAGAACAAAATCCAGGTGAGTGATGCTATCAGAGATGTTTGGCAGCCATCTGTTAGGGGATGTGAGCACACAGCCAGTCCTAACAGGAGCACAATGCAATAGTGTCTGGATACTTGTTGTAGAGATGTTTGCATGTAGCAATGGTGAGAATCTTGTTTGGTTTAATTTCTGTTAATCCACCCATTCTTTATAAGAAGGAAAACACTTGAGTTTAAAACAAACAATGCCTCTAGAAGATTGGACACCTACATGTTGGAGATTACATGAGTGGAGCTGGCTGGAGCCAGAAGTCAGACTAGATGGCCCAGGAGACCCCTTGTTTCTCTGTTTCTAAGCAAACAAATGTGGAAGAAACCAAAACTGACAGGTTCTTCCATCCAGGCTCAGGGTTTTGAATGCTAACCTCTTAAAAGCCTGAGTACACAACTCTCCATACTCAGCCATATTTGTGAAGCAAATTTAGAGCTCTCTCTCGCGCGCGCGCTCGCGCTCTCTCTCTCTCTCTCTCTCTCTCTCTCTCTCTCTCTCTCTCTCTCTCTCTCTCTGACAAGCCTCTCATCTTTACTGGCTGTATGGAATTAAAGTGTTGCATGAGCTTCTCCATGATGTTTTATGCTGATATTGCTTGCTTTTTCAGAAAATTTGACGCTATTGTTTTTACTACCCTATCAGTTTTTATTATATGACTTTTACTGTCGTATGCCACCTTGGGAAGGCTGCTGCTTTAAAAGGCAGCCAAGTGATATTTTTAAGACTGCAATCCTATGTATGTTTATATGGGTCCTGCATCTCCCAGCATTTCCCCAACCAATCATTCTTTTGATAAGATTTCACCAAAATTGCAAATTTCTTCCTATACAGAAGAAGAAATTTTAAGTTCTTCTGAAGATTTAATAATACACACACAAACATTCTGAGTAATGAAAGAGAAAAGCAAACTAGCAGATTCTTTCATCTCTATTGTACCCTGAACTGGATCCTTTTGTGTATATGGAGTTCACCCATGTTTAATTAGGCAACTAATGTTGATAGGTCAGGATAACACCACAAATTTTAACTTCATCCCCAGTGTGTAAAATGGAACTCAGAGCATTGTTATAAAGACAAAACGTGTGTAAAACATTTCCCATATGAGCACTCTGATCCAGAAATTTCTTAGGATAACAGGAATTCTAAAAGGCATTCCTTCCAGGTTCTCGTCTTGTTTTATGCATGGTAATCTATTTGATTAGACTTTGATTAGGAAGGCATATCCACACTTGAGCTTCATGTATATTCACTGAAGCATTGATAAGTATTGATATTGCATTACTTTGTGAATAACAACAGCAATTACCTTTCCATGGCAACACTTCCTTAGCTCTTCATTCACAAACCAACATCAAGCAAATAAAGTCAACGACTGAGTGCAAAACCATGGTTTTTATTAGAAATATTCTGGTATAAAAATGATCATGCTCTACACATTGTCATTGAATAATTCATAAACATCCAGGCACTGAACTTTTGATTTTTTTTTTAGTTTTTTTATAGTTTTTGATTGGTCAGTACATTAAAGCAGACATATTTCAATCCATATGGTCATCACATACATTAATTTACCACCTATAGAAATCAGCACTTTGAACACAGTCTAGGTTTTGTTTCATTTTTGTTGTTGTTGTTGATGGTTTTTTGTGTTTTTTTAAGGTTTTTTATTATTTTTGCAACACAGAGAATTTGGTAAGGAGAGGGGGAAGACAGAAGGGAAAGCAAGGTGGGAAAATAGTGAAGAAGTCGGAAGACAGGAATGAAAAAATGAAGTGGGGGGAACAAAAAATGAGAGAAAGAAAGACTCTTCACAACCACAAACCATCTCACAATTTGGGAGATAAAAGGGAAATTTATTCTTTTTCTTTTTTTTTCCTTTTTCTTTTGCCAAGATACAGGAACAAAACAAAACAAAAAATAAAATCCAAAACCCAAAAAAGTTGCTAACGATCTGTCACCTTCTTTCTGGATCTCAGTGTGATATCCACCCCATTAGCCTGTTCCTCTCCTTCCAGTGGAAGGCAAATGCCTCTTGTGGGGTGGGTGGTGGGTTGAATCTTTCTGCTGCTGTTGGTGGCCATCTTCCTGAAGAGCTGCCTGCAACAGCCCAGCCATCAGAAATGGGCACCCAGATGATGCCTTCTTGGAATCACACTTGGTTTCACCCTCTCCCCCATCATAACGTCATCTGTGTTGAGGGGTTCAACTCCACTTTCCAGTTTGTCCTCTTCATCAGCCCTTTTCTTGTGGCCAGTTGCCACTGGCTGGGTTTAAATCGCATGGTTGCTATAGCTGACGTAAGTCTGTTTGGTAGCCAGCGCTAGAAGAAGAGACAAAGCATGCATGTATCATTAATGACGCTTTTCTCTTTCATTCCTTCTCCAAATATGGAAATTTGAGCTAACCTGCAGAAGAGTCCTGAAAACCACTACCTTCAATGCTTCTTCTAGCTAATCTAAAATAAAATGAAGACTGTCTCTGCTGGGGATGGGTGAATCTGTCAGTTTCAATTTCTCTCAGTTTTTCCTTTTCCCAGTCAGTTCATCTCAGACTTTGAGAATTTCTTCAATTTAATCTTCGGTTCAGCCCAACTGCTGACTTGCTTTTTTTAAAGTTTGCATCATAAGCACTTTTCTCAACATTACTCACAATGCATGCATTTTCTCTAATGAACATATTTTTGCTAGCACTTTCCTAATACAGTGCATTTCTGAATATTGCTCCCTCTAATGTGTGTGCATTTTGTATGTCTATTGGCGAATGCCATTGCAAAATTTGGAGATGTGTGACTTTCAAAGGAAAGCAGAGCTTCCATTTCTCTAGTGGTTTGAAAGTACAAAATTATTGAGTTAATTTCTTTCTCGTTCTTAGATTCTTCCTCCCCAGGTGCTGCATCTCCAACATGGCAAGAAATAGGAGAAGGTATGTCCGGCTAGCCTATGTCCCATTTGACCTGGCTGTTATTCCCACTTTGAAGAATTACGACTTACTGACCTTAGGCTGCTTTCTAGACCATCTGAGGCATGGAGGCCACCTACTTCCTATAAAAAGAGACCCACTCATCTTCACAGTAGCATGGTTGCATTGTCTTTTTCTGTACCCAGCGAACTCAGGAAAACACAAGCCCAAAAACCAAGCAAATAAACCTCAACCAAGCTGGTACAGCCTTAGTCTTGGGGAGAACTTGTCACAGGTTGAACCCAGTCTTTGGGGGGAAATCAGAGGGACTGGAAGAAATGAGCAAAGGCAATATATGTACAAGTGAGCAGCAGTGCTTGGAGAATAGGGCTTGCACTGAGCAATTTACTTCTCCCCTGGGGTGTAATATGCATTAAACTGCAAGAGATAAAGGAAGGGGGGAAAGAAAAGAAATCATTTCCCTGGTTTTACTTCAGGCAGTGGAGTCTGTGATGAGCTGCTCTTAATTAAATACCCACTTCCAGATGGGAAGCTAACTCTTGCAAGATAACAGATTAACCTCCCTTATGGACATTAGAGCAGGAGAGTCCATCCCTGGTCCTCCTCGTGTTAGTTCAAGGCAGGAGAAAAGGTGAAAATGAATTACACTGTGACTACCTGAGAAGCTTAAACTGGATGGCTAGAGCAGCTTTAGTGCTGTGATGGATTCTGCATATAGCCATACTTGGAAGCTGTACAGTGAAAAGGAGCCAAGGGGTGTCTTACTGAGGACAGCTTTGAGAAGGAGGATTTTGTTTCGAAACAGTATAATACTGAACTTTCCAAACCCTAGACAGTATCATTGTGTCCCTACCTACCTGGTATGCTTTGCAAAATAAGTCTCCAGAGCTGCTAGTATAGAGATTAAAACAAAACTACACATTATTTATTTTAATGCTTTATTTACAAGAAATATCACTCCAGATTCTAGTAGGGAGATTTTGGAGCAGTGAACAATAAAACATATAAAGAATAAACCAATATGTTAAAAACAAATTAATAAACATGTGCCTAATTACAGGAGATGCCCAAAACAACAGCATGTGGGTGCCTGCATGTCTCTCAGAAGCATGGAGGTCCAAAGAAATGGAGCCACTATACTGAAAGATCTTTGGGTGAACTCCAATCAGGCCATATGTCCATTTGGAGCCACCAGGAACATGTCATCCAATGACCTCGGTGACAGGTCAGGTTGGTAAGAGAGAAGGTATTTGATTTAAGTGAGTTTTTATGGCTTTATACTCTAGATTACACTTAGACCACACTAAGGATGCTTCCAGCACTAGCAGTAGCACTGTGTTTTGCAGTGGTTACATCTTTTTCTCCTGGACAGGTTGCCTGTACTAAGGAAAAGTCAGAAGAAGTGGCAAGAAAACAAAGGAGGGGCACAAGTAGATGAACACAGATGGAGCCCAGGAGACTCAGGTGGCAGCACCAGCATAGCCTCACCTGCAAGCAACCTAAACCTCACTTGCATTCCTTTCTTCCTTCTTAAAAATCAGTCAGGCAAAGTCTGGTCAGGATGTTTGGGGGGATGAGAGTTTTTAACCCTCTGCCACTAGACTGTGGCATGTGCTCTTCCACCTGAGTCATTTTCCACAGAAAAGCTGCTATTGTTGCTGTAATTTGGGACTGGGAGATTTTCATTAGAGCTGTTTTGTAGGGGAAAGGTCTGTCTTCCTTCCTTCCTAGCAAACCCATAAAACAGGTTTTCTGGCATCTTACAATTATGGAGAGCCTTTGTAGACAACCTTAGGGAGTCATTCCATTAGGTGGTGAGGTCTTATACCACAAAGAGCTTTATAAGCCAAAGCAGGCACACTGAATTGTGCTTGATACTGAATGGCAGCTACTGCAAGAAAGGACTGGAGTAAACTTTCTCTACACACCATAGTCCCAGTCCTGAAGCCTACCCACAAATAGGTTCAGCACCATGGATAACTTTTCTGAAGTTCAGACTTAAACTCAGAGTAGATACAGTGCCCCACTGTCACTGAACTCACCAGCCTCAGGTGGACAGACAGGCATTCAGGTGGTATGTGTTCTCTATCTGATAATCTGGGTGATTCATGAAATAGAAATATGCCCCACAATATATTTTCCTTTATATTTTGACTGGTATCCCCAGCACCAGCACATTCTTTCAGTTTTTCTTGCCTGTGTTTGAGGGGAGATGTGTACACCCCAATCACTCCAGTGAGGCCAGATGGCTTGCAATCCAATCAACACATTTCCACTTTAAATCTTCCTCCTCATTTTTATTCTACAACAGTGAATATTACTGAAGTTTAGCATCTGCCTGAACATGTAATATGATTTTTAAGAAGTGTGTGCGTGCATGCGTGCATGTGTGTGTTGCTGTGAATATCAGAAAGAAGGATCTTTTGAAGTGTCAAAAGCTCAATCCCATTTTTTAAAAGAGTTTGACAAATTAGGAGTAACACCTTGCCAACTCTGGGGAGAGAGAGAGAGTGTGTGTGTGTGTGTGTGCGCACGCCTATCCATAGACTGTTTGCTGATTTCTGGACAGGGTCGGGCAAGGAAAGGCCATTTGGTCAGCCTAGCATTAGCCTATCTGTGCCAAAATTCCCCAAGGTTTCTTAGGCAGTACAAAGAGTCATTGGATAAGCAGAGTATGTTTCTTAGGTATGGGAGAAACACCCCCATACCTAAGACAAGAAAATGCCTTTGAGATAACCTTTATGAACTGCCCCTGACTTCATTCACAAATGCATGCCAGGCACCATGCACTAACCCAGTTCTGATGAAATACCTTAAGTCTACAGCAATAAGGCTGGAGTGTTATGGTGAGAAGCTCACTGAAAATATCTCAGTGGTGAGCTAGCAAATACTGTGCTAGAAATCATAAAAACGGATTGGAAATGAAGCTCCTGGCACTGTAATGTCTTGATTCAAACTTTTGGTCCTGCCACACTTGGGATACGGTGCACTGGCCTGATCACCCAATCTAAAGAGGAGTCATTGAGCTGTAATGGGACAGCAAACAGCAGCCAAATTAGTCAAGGGGTTGGTTGGAATTAATCATGGTTGAAGGATTTACTATGTCAATATTTTTCATGGATCTACCAAATTTATAGCTCCTTAAACCAAACATGGGACTAAATGGAAATTCTTGTCAGAAATGGAATGAAAATCTGAGCTCTTTCTGAGCTTGCAATGTTTTTAATGAGATTAAAGTACATTCATTAGCATGCACAGTTTGAAAAATGTGTGGCAAAAATGTTTATGGTTAAAATGTGAACAAACATGCTTTAGTCGATGGATGCAAGTGTACAAAAGTGACTTTATTTGAAACACACACGTGTATACATTTGAAAAAATGCACTCCAAATAGATATGCATTTCTCTGCAGGTAAAAGAAGCCCATAGGAAACTAAGACAGAATAAGTGCAGGGGCAGAAAACAAGAACTTCAGTGGGATCAAACTTGATAGATCTACTTATCTCTAGCTGGAGCACTCTGTTTGCAGTATAAGAGAAGGTTACATTGTTTGGGGCATTTTAGTTCAGAAAAATAATTATGAGGGGTAAGAAAGAGTGTTAAGGAATGACATTTTGCATGTTTAGACAGAAAAACGTCCTCAGTTCCTTGGGGAATTGTAGGACTTTTTTCTATGTCAAACCTACATGGGATTGTACCCTTATAGCATAAGGTATAGTATAGGCATGGTGGATATAGATGTTTTCTTCCATCCAGTAAAACTGTTCCAGAATTCAGGAGAGATATTAGGAAACATTTCTTCAACAACCTGTAAATGGTTATGTAACAGCTCATAACTGCCACATGGATTCCTCATGTGAGATAAGGCTACTGATCATGGTGCAATATTACCCCCAGTATCAGAAGCAGGACACTTCTTAATACCAGTTCTTAGGGAGCACCACTGGTAGGTGCCCCCATAACCTACTTGTGGACTTCCCATAGGCATGTTTGGCTACTGTGCAAACAGATGCCTGGACTAGGTAGGACGTTGATCCAATCCAACAAAGCTCTTCTTACATTCCTATGTTTTGTTATGTTGTAGCAGATATGGCCACTGGCTTAGAATGGTTGATGCAAGGAGATTAGCAAAAGCCTAATAGGTCTCTCAACTGCTCTTAGCCATGATAGCTACCATGGATGAAAACCACTGCATGAAGCAGTATATGTATTAGAGGCTACAGAGAAACAAGTGGAAGGGGCTCCAACTTCATGCCCCCACCTGAAGGCTTCTCCTAGGCAACTTGTTGTTGACCATCAGATAAAAGATGTTGGACCTTTGCTCTGACCCAGAGAATGTGTGGAGGGGGAGGGTTACGTTTTGGGTACTCTAGAAAGGTCACCTCCAGATGCAACATCATA